GCTAATTTGCACTGTTTTCGGGCTGCATAGCTTCAGGAAGGAGAACTATGATTCTGCAATTCTACTTCCCCAGTTGTATAAAGATAATTTGAATCAGAATGCAGATGCCACGGGATTCATGGATACATCTAAGAGCAGTTTGGGATTTGGAAAACGTTAGCTCTGAAGTAACAACATCACCATTACCAACATTGCTACAATGGCGGGTCTTATTATGTTGGATGTCTACCAGCAGCAAGTGTTTTAAAAGGGACTGAATAGAGTCAGACAGTTAAGACTTTCGTATGTAAGATCCCAAAAGGCCAAATCATGTGATGCCAAATATTTTGATGCACCAGCCAAATAAATGAATGAATTAAATGTGGCATTGGGAACAAATTAAAGGGAGTAGTCTTGCCAAATGATTGACAGATTAGTAGTATACAGTGTAACGGGGTGTTGCAGGAGATATGGTTGTAAACAAAGTCAAGCTGTATCAGCAAAGAGGGGTGATGAACATATTCAGAAAGTAGGCCCAGTCCCCCATTGTAGGTGTCAATCTCTTACTGGGTGTACAATAAATCTGGTACTTACAAGTTTAAAGTTAATCTCTATCAATTTCAAATCTTTTCTTTTATTATTTGAAAATGAAATCTTTATATTGATGTTCATAATGGCCATATGTGGATGTCCTGTCTGTAGTGCATATTGGATGGTACTGTGTGTTGATAAGGCTCACACTTGGTGTTGTTCCAATCATTTTAAGCACACTTTATTATTTTATTATTTTGACACATTATAATTGTGATTCTACTCTCCGTGCATACCATTCCTTCCATAGCCCAAAAGCAGCAGGGAAATTGCTCATGTACCGTAGTGGACTTTACACGAGGAAGCTAGCATATCAGCCTAACAAGTTGTCATGTATTGTTCTGTGTGTCCCCTGCAGTCAAGGGTCTGCAGTGCTATGGCTGCAACATCATACAGGGCCAGAGATATGTGGACGTGGGCTGCTCCAACCCAGAGGTCATCACCTGCGCCCACTCACACAAAGGCTTCAAACACCGTTTCTGTATCAAGACAGAGAGCAGTAAGTAAAGCTACATGAAAATGTTATTATGACTAATAAACTGAAATCATATTCACAATTTCTTATCTTCTCTTCATCCACTAACTTAGTGAGTTAATGCATCTGTGTATGATACTTATTTGAAGAATATCTATGGTGAGGTAGAAGATTATTAAATCATGATGAATTCACTCTGGCATGCAACTGGACATTAGCATAATTGTTTTTAATCATACTTGTTCTTTGTCCGCTGATGTGAATATTGTATTGCTCCTTGCACTGAGGATAGTTACATAACCCTATTTTGGTGTGCTTTGCTGACTAAATTATAAGTCATTCATTGTTTGATGTTAAGTCAAATGGAGGATGTGGACAGCCGCGACAGGATAGTGATGGTCAGATGAGTGGTTCTGCTGATATCCATGGAAGCGTGGATGATCCAGCTGTTCCTTTGCTTGATGTCTAACTCAGCTCACTCATATTAAAAGGGCTGATGACGCACCTTTTCCATCGGCTCAAAGAAACAGAAAGCTCTGACATGGACTGACAACAGCCCATCCAATGCAGTATGACAAGCACTTTGTCAAAATCTTGAAGCAGTGTCTTGGTAGTAATCTGTGGCTAGTCAGCCTGTTAATCTTCATGTGACCCCGCCAAACCCAAATCTAACAGATGCTAGTGAAGTTCCATAAGAGTCTTAGAGTTCTGGTCCCCTTTGTCCTCACTCAGATGCAAGACATCTGTCCTTAGCCAATAGCCAGTCCAATGTCATTCTGTCCTAAATTAAATTTACTCTCACTTGTCAGCTGTCTCCAACCTATAACTGAAGTGAAGATTCTTGACTGGCAAAAAACATCTAAGCTTGACTAAAAATCATCTTAATTTAAATGAAGAAGCCGGGCTGATCTTCGCAAGCGGGCCCTGCTAAACTTACCTAGAAGACCCAATCACTCTTCATTTTCAGCTTGGCTTTTAAAACAACAACCTGACCTTCCTATGTCAGGTTGCCATGTGTCTTTCAGGAGATCCTAAACGACAGAGATGTTGTCAGGTGCTAATCAAGTGCAAGAAGGTGATCGATAAAATTTCATTATAGAAATGACTTTGATTGAAAAGGGTGGAAAAGATGAGGTAAGGCTAGAACTCCCCATTTAGAATAGCTTTTATGCCAAGTGTTGCTCTTCTCAGATCAGATTCATACTATGTATTTTAGTTTCATTAGCTCTAAGATGTAAGAACTCAATCTAAATATTACATAAACTGTATTACATTATTGGAGGTCAGTTATTAGCCCAGCTCTTTTCTTCAAGACTATATATGTGATACCCAGAAGAAGAACCTTAGGTTAAGGTTTGACATGCACCACTGGAATGCTACAATGTCTTTGTATATTATTGGGGATTTTATCCTGGTAAATAAAGATAATAGAGATTTTAAACTGGGCTTTACAATATTATCTGAATGTTTCGGCATTGCTTCTCCAAGCTTTTATGTACTGCATTTAAGAGTACAAAATGTACTATTTGTCAGAGGCTTGGTTTCTCAGCTGTGAAGACATATTCTGTGGAGTGTGCCTTTAAGATCTCTAAACGTCTTCCTCATTACACACTTGCAGTATTTGGTGCTTACTTATGCTTTTTTTCTTGCTGAGCCAAACACCAGCTCGTCACTCTTCTCTGACTGACTGTCTCCCCCTTCTGTCCCTCCAGCGGCCCTGGGTATTGTCCTGACCAGCGGTTGTGCCACATCCAGACACTGCCAGCAGCAAGAACTGCCAGGTGTGCGCATCCACTGCTGTGACTCAGACCTATGTAACAGCGCCCCCTCCTGGCAACCAAGCACACTCCACTGCATCGTTGCACTGTTCAGCTTCTTGCTGCTGAGGATGTGGTTGTGATATGGAGTCAATCAGGAGAGGAACGCAACACCAGTGGACTATTATGGGAGAAACACTTTGTATTAGTTACTCTCATTTCCTCTCATAGGGCTGAATGAGAGTTTTACCCAGTATGGTGTTACTGGCGAGCACCTTGACATTGTAGCTGTTGTCACATAGTCAGACTAATGGCAAAATAACCTTGTGAATCTGTTTGATGAAACTACACTGATGAACTCATCAGTGATTTTATTGTGCACATCCATTTACTCAAATGTAGCTTGAAGTACAGTTTATGGGACATCATTGGACATGTGTTGCCACGAAAGAAAGATCCTTGTTAGAGCCATAATGTCAGTTCATAAAAAGCTTTCAGTGAAGACACCTTTTATCAGCAATGCGGATAAACACTGACTTCAGTTTTATAAAGGTTTACATCCACTTGTGCTGTAAGACATATGTCAATTTTCTCTGTTAGGGAGTTGGTTATCTTTCTCAACATCAAATCTTTGTGTCCAGTACGTTTTTTAAAAAGTCACAGGCTATTTACTTTGCAAAATTAAAGATATTTTTTTAGTTTGCTATCCAGTTCTCCAGGCTAAGCTTGGAAAGGCACACTGCATGTGGTTATATGTAGGATTGTAAGAAATATTGTACAGTGAAAGCATGTAATGTTGTGAATTACTGTATTAAAATGTTTCATATTTTTCAAAATAAAAATGCTCTGAACTCTGCTATTTTTGACATATCATGATGTCACATACTACACATATTCAGAGCAATCTAAAATTAATTGACATGTACAAATAAATTAAACCGTGTTAAATAGTTAGGCCAGCTAGTTGGAAAGTTATTTTATTCACATACAAATATGTTTAAAGATTTTTAAACTTATTTCTTTTACACTAGACAGAATAAAACAGAAATAGAACAACCATAATGGGCTCCTATGGTCATAAAAGGTAAGCTAATATTCACCAGTACACTTACACACAATGGCATTATTATGGCCATTTCCATACAGACAATTTATAGAGGGTCTTTACTAGTTTAGTATCATTCACTTACACTGTATGTTTACCTGTCATGTACAAAACACACTGTATTTGCCGAAAGTAGTCTATGAAATTTAGCGCAAAAGTGGCAATCACAGAAAAGCATTGCTGGAGCATAAATTCCATCGTACACAAGAACATTTAGGTAGAATGGATGCTGTCCAGCTCCAAATGTTTAATAAACTTTCACAATTCAACACTTTCCTTATGCTTATTGTTTGCATGTGACAAATATGTAATTCTCTCTGATTAAAAAATATATTTTTAACACATTAACAGATTTGAAACTAGGTTCAAATGTTATCAGTTTGTTTTCCACATGGGAGACACACCAACCAAAGACCAATGCAATGAAAAATTACAGTAATGTATAGAGCCATAGCTCACTGGAACAGTTTGCTGTATATTTCGAATGAACTGAGATTTTTATTTTATTTTATCAGTCAACCGATTTAAATGGTCCTATTTTAATGCTTTGTTTCATGTATGTTTTAAATTGGATGCAATGACATTGATGTGACTGGGCTATATTGTTCACTGTTTGTAAATTAAGCTAAACATTAATTGATTTTATATAGTTTCCTAAATTTGGATCCCAGTAAGAGTAGTTGTTGCTGAAGGAAACAACCAATGGGGAACCAAATAAACAATACATCATTTTTAGGCCATAAAATGGTTTAGATGGACATAGTGGACTAAACCTCCCATCTCTGAATTACTGTAATGTAAAGGTCTTTAAAGGCAAATAGGACAGTGAAACAGCAGTGTCAGTGTAAAGAACCTGAACCCAGATCAGTCAGGTGTAATCAAATCCCCAAACCCTGATCCCCCCTCAGCCTTACCTATGATTTCACCTAAGTAATGATTTCATAATCTGATGCGATACATAATCGGTATAAAATGACGTACAAGCACAGCATGCATGAATACACCTGTGCAGGTGAGGTCGCCTTTCACGACACAGTGCACACTATTGGTGCACAGACCGCAGATCGCCGCATATGATGCTCTTTGTCCCAGAAGCCCATTGTATACAGCGGAGGAAACCCTGTGCCGTGATCAGCCATCTTGGATAGACAGATCATACTTGAGCCAGGATAACCTGCATTCCTCTTCTGAACAGCTCCACAACACAACGCTCTAGACACTTGATTTCTGGTAAGGACAGAACAAAGGGAACACCTGAACACGCTCACACACACGCACATAATGCCTGACAAACGTCGAGACACTTATTTTAAATGACGGAACAGTTCAGCTAGCCTCTGTTAGCCAGCAGCTAAATGGCAAGCTAACGACGCTAGCTAACAGATGGCTCATACTAGGTTGGTGTTTTGTCGGTAGCTTTAAGAACAGGAGATATTGCCGATAGCGCTGTTTGTAGAATATTATTGTAGGCGAGGAATGACTAAATATGGGTTGACAAGCTAACTAGGCTCCGTATTTAACGTGACCATAATCCAACACTGCAGCTAGCTGGTCAACTAGCATGCCTAAGCCATCGCTAGCTGTCGTTAGTTAAAGAGGCAGAAGCCACGTTAGTTTTATAAATTAGTTATACTAATAAGATGGCATTGGCTCGGTTGTTTGTGTGTTGGCAGAGGCAACCGACTTACAGGCTGTAATTTAGGCGATTTGTTGTCAAGATACATCCACAGATGACAGCCAGCAGGTAACTAGCCAACGCAAACTTAGCTGTCAAAACAGCTAATCTCGGGCCGTGGTGGTTATCAGAGACCAATCGAGTAAATGTCAGGTTTTATGTCCTCTTAAGCTTAGTTACATTGCTTGCTCTTTATGCGCTAACTGGTGGCTTAGAAATAACTAACCAAACGCTGACACATGGCCGGTTGTTGAGCTAAGGTTGGGGAGCAGGCATGACGTTAGTGTGTCAGATTAAAGAGTTAACATCAGAGACTACTGTAGTGCCTGTTTGTGTATACAGACCCTCTCTCTCTCTCTCTCGTTCCTCTCACTCTCGTGGCTACGCTCGTCTCCTCCCGGGTCATCGTCGTCTCTCTCTCTCTCTCTCTCCCTCCTTTTTAATTTCTTGTATAGAAGTGATTCTTTTTAGTGCAGCGTTACACATAAGGTCCGATAAATCCTCAGCCAACGGTGTGTTAGCCTTCACTTTGGCTTTACTTTTCCAAACAACAGATGTGAATCGTTTTAGAAACGGAAGTTGACCCTTCGTGACTCAAAGAGTTGCACATTTGGAGAGATCTGCCTTTTATCTAACATAAAGTGCTGCATCATTTCTGTTTGTTGTGCCAATGCACTCCCATTACAAGCAGGCCTGATCTGATACTTATAACATCATTTTGTATCGATGTTCTGTAATCATATAAGTAAAGTAAATGGTAAATTAGATTAGTATGTATTCTGATAGTGTGTCTGTCTCGCCTATAAACTGCAGCGATGATCTCATGATATTGTTTAAGGCTTGAAAGGAGTCACATGATTAGAAGAGTGGGCCTGAGCATCATGGGAGGCACTGTGGCTGTGTGCAGTATGTGTCATGATTTCCTGACAGCCCAGTGATTTGAATTGCCCACAAGTTGTGCATCCTCTCCTCTATAGGATGTGTGTGCTGAGAGGAGGAAAGGCAGGGACAGTATTTCTCTGGAGAAAGATTCAGTGTGTTAAAGAGCAAAAAAGAAGTGCTGAGGCTGCAGTCTGGTCACATGGTCTTGACTCGCCTTCTCCTTGATGGATCCTCATGGGGTTTATTTCTGTGTAATGAGAGGGAAATGAGAAAAAAGGGGGTGGGGTATCACTACTGAGACACATTTAGCTTTTACTCAGGTTGGGGGGTAACTTACTAGCAGCTTACCTCCCAGAGCACAGACAACCATCACACTGGGTATATAAATGCCACACGAGGGTCATGTGACAGGAGGCGTTGTGGAAAAAGGGCCTCAAATGTTAACCTAGGACTTTAAAAGATTGCAGTAGTGTAATTGTGTGACTTGTTCATGTTATCGGTTTCAATTTGAAACCTGCTCAGTGCAATTACACTGACGACACTGATCATCCACTGATCCTTTATCTCATGACCTGCACATCACTAGTGGCCTTTGCCCAGGAACCACAGATGAAAATGAGACTTCAGTTATAGCTATTAGCGTTTTTGTTATAGCTAAAAGTGGATTTTCTAGATATAGGCATCTGGTACAATACATGTATTGTGCATTTTCACTACTAAATTTCCCCCTGGGGTTATTAAAGTATTTCTGATTCTGAAACAAGCAAACCTAATTTATTTCTTTTCGTCATATCAGTCAGGCTTTGTAGAAGCCCTGTTGTTTAAACAGCTACTTCATACAGATTTCTTTAAGCTTCGTTAGAGACTTTGTGTTAGCCTGAGTAATTACCAAATGTCAGGTCAAGTTGCAGTGTTTTTGGGCGAGGGAAAAGTGAGAGTCTTTCCTGGGGCCACCAACAAGAACCTAGTTATAGCCTGCTCTGGAGCTCTGCCCTGCGAGTTCCTTACATTGTTTGAAATGAGAAGATTCAGCAGCTGCTGCTCTTAACATTATATTTTTCTTTAACCTGAACTAAGAAGCCTTGCAGGCCCTCTTCATTTCCTGTCTCCGGTGGTTGCTGGTGGTTGTGTCAGCATTAATCTGGCCAGTCAAACGTGGTCACTGAGCTGCAGATGCAGAAGTATGAGCATAACACCAGCACTAGGCTGCGATGTGGCACAGTGATTTCAGTTTCCAGGAACTGCTTTAACTGCAGCACAGTTTTCACTGAACTGCGGAGAAGAGAAAAGCGCTGGTTTGAGGCGGACTATCTTTGCCAGGAACACAGAAACCATCAGGCTGCCGGCTGATTATGCCCCTGATTGTTCAGCCTGAATTATTTACTTATCTACAGCAGTTAGGCTGTACGGCAGCACCTTGATACAGATTGATACAGCAGCCTTTATTCAGCGCAGCTACACAATAGCCTTGATGTGAGGAGATGGCATTGCTCTGCGAATTTTATGGTGAAGCTGTTCATGAGAAAAACCGCCTGCTTTCAAAAGCAGCTCAATTGATGTCATACATGACCCAATCACTTATTTATGAACAAATCTGTGCATGTTCAAAAAGAGCTTCTCCCCATGGCTCTTCAACCAGCGTATCATTTAAGTTGACTAGTGGTGATATTGTGTGGTACATCTGAAGGCTTTTCCCTACATGCTTTATCTATGTGCTGTGAGTGTGAACAATGAAGCATCACTTGGTATCAGATAGGTGTCAGGGCTATTTTTAGCCTCGCTCTGAGCCTGTGATGCTGGAGGTGTTCCTCTACATGTAAGTGCCACGCTGTTTACTTGTAGACAGACTGTGTCTAATGCCATCAAAATTAGCCGCTGTCGCTGTTTCGGTCTCATTATTAGAAGACGCATCACCTCCGTGCACCGCCCCCTCCCCTGTCTACAGGCCTACATTAGGTTATTTTAACAATGCTTACTGCCTCTGGAGTGTGGGCTGGAGAAGACACATGTACCATTATATTTAATAAATACATGTCACATTGTTACTGGACTTAAGAAAGAAAGAAAGAAACTCTGACTGAAGATAGACATTATGTGCATTATTGTAATAATATTACTGGTGGTGCCAGTCAATGTCAGTCACTCTTGGCCTCGGTGACTTGTGAGAGTTCAGTCTTTAATCAACAGACCTCTGTTTTTGTTGGGACTACTCTAATCACTCAGTGAACCAACCCACTTGATTTAATTTTCACTCAAGCCCAGTGAACATGGGTGCAGCGTGTGAAAGGCTGCCTGAGCTCTTTGTAATACTTCAATGTGAAGTATGCTAACAGTGGGGCTTCCCCGTGTTAATCGAGGAATGTTGCTATTATCTTTACCGTATCTATCAGTTAGCCAACAGGTGGTACTCTTAGAAATAAAAGTTTGTAAATAGAATTTGACTCTACACATTAATTAGTTTCTGTACTGTTGTGCAAGTAATACAAAGTAACATAAAGGGGTAAGGACTCATTAAGAATAATTACAGTGCCAGTGTGTAGGATTCAGTGGTGAAGTTGTACATTGCAACCATTTGAATACAGCTCAGCCTTGGACGTGTGTAGGAAAAACGGTGGTTGCTGCGAATTCGGCAGTTCTTCATGGCGAGTATACGTTTGTAGATGAACAATCAGGTTGACACAAGTGGTAAGCATGCATTTACAGTTTAGAAATTTGTCATTGGTCACCAAACTGATGAAAGTAAATGGCTAGGGTTGTTTTTCTCCCTGCATTTATTTATGTAAGCAGGAATATGAAGTGTGTGGGAAGTGCAGTCATACCACCTCCTAGCTGACCAATCAAATGAACAATATTAGAGTTGACTTTCATTTCTGGTTGCCGGTACAGTCTTAGCTGTTGCAACATAGGAATTTAATAGCAAGTGAGTTATCTCGTGATCGTGAGCAACCGGCAGATATTTATGGTTTTGTTCAAGTTCATACTTGCTGATATCGGTTAGCACCGTATTTCTAAACGGGTCATTTAAACTGACTTAATACTTACTGAAATGTGTTGGACTGTTTACACACAATGTATGTGTTTTGATGTGTTAATTCACATTCCTACAGAAGTATATTATTGCTGTACTTACTGCCTCGTAGAGTTACACTTTCTCCTAAATGACCCATTTAAATCCATATGTACAGGACTTGCTGTGTTTTATTTTTACATGCACAAATTAGATTTTTAGGCCTCTCTTCAAGTAAAGTACTTGATATGCGTAACCAAAAGAAGTCCTTAATGCTGATTCAGGAACCTAGCATTCAGAATGAACGTGCTGAGTGTTGAGTTTCAGTGCTACAGATGACTGTAGTCATTGTTGTTTGTAAGATAAAAAAAAGGATTTTTACCCATAAAATGTAATGTACATTAAATTGCATGCATTACCTGAACACCTTTTAGATAGGAAAAGTGCAAATGACCCTTACTGACAGCTTAAATACCTAAACCTTCCTCTCTTCTCTCTTTCAGAGCCACAATGGCCACCGCACCATACAACTACTCCTACATTTTCAAATACATCATTATCGGTAAGTGAGCAACGCCAGTAAGTATTTAAGGTCTCCAGCGAGCCATGTTGATGAGCTTGGGCGGGGGGGGGGGGGGGCAGTTCAGTCTATTGATATATCCCACTTCCAAAGAAAGGTCTACCTGTATCAATGTTGTGTTTACTGTAGTGTATGAAAATTGACAAACACATTAGTCAGAGAAAGCCTATGACTGCTGGTCCACTAAGATTTGCAATGACTTATTATATCATCTTTGCAAAATCGATTGTCAATGCTTTAATGCCTGACTACACTGTTCTCTTATGAACAGTTACAGTGCAAATGGATTTGCATTATATTCCACCTTTGTTGAGCTGTTTAACACAGGGGCTCTTCGTGAACCTACTGCTGCTTTTGCTTTTACGTATATTTACAGACAGGCATATGCATAAACACACCCACAGCTCCAGGTTATTTATTCTCCTCTTCTGCGAAACCTAAAACATCCTGCCTCACAGCTAACACTCGGCTGAGATCTTGAAGGTGTGTGCGGATGAATCAGCCTGGAGAGATGGTGTCTCGCTGCTTTACTTTTTTCTCATGGTTTTTTTTTTCCTTCACTAAACAGTAATGGAAACTTTCACAGTTCATCTTTGAAAGTATGATTTTAAGATCTCGTGATCCTGCTTCCTGTTGGATTTGATACAGTTTTCTAAGCTTCTGCTTGGTGTTTTTATCCAAATTACTGATGAAGGTTTTTCAGCATTCTCTTGTGCGTGACGGTATCCCCTGAAAGCATCATTCCTAAATTGTTGCCACACTTTTAATACCAAGGTAGTCAGACCAAAGTGTAGGTTTTTGTCAGTATTATTCACCGCTAACACAGATGCATTTGTGTGCTTTTGTTTGATTGCATCATTGTTTTTAGGTCGAGTTGTAAATGAAGGACTCGAGAGTCACAGATGATTACACCATCAGGATCAAGACCCAACACAAATATACCATTAGTCTGTGTTAAAATGGCTACGAACATGTATCGTCAAACTCTGTGGGACAGTACACTTTATATTTAAGTCCTTATCCGTCACTCTTACTGCCCCACATTAAATTTTAAGTATTGTCTATTGGCTTGAATAGAGAATTGTTGTTCTTTTATGTCCTTGGTTGACCTGAGGTGTTTTTTTGTTTCTCTTCTGTCTCTCTCCACAGGGGACATGGGGGTAGGGAAGTCATGTTTGCTTCACCAGTTCACAGAAAAGAAATGTAAGTGCTGCCCTGATTTTGACTCCTTTTCATCATTGCTTGTTCCTCAGTGTATGTAAGGTTGCCAGGTTCAACTAGAGTGCCTAAATCGCTTTAGATTTCTTTATACGCCAGCGGAAGTCAGCGGCATAGAAGTGGAGTGTGAGCTCAACAGTGAGAGACTCTTCTTCTGTGTGTGAGTCAGCTGCAGCCTCCCCATTACCATTCAGCTCCGTTTTGTTTAGTGCTACTATTAACAAGCCAGATGCTGTGTTCCTCATTCACTCGCCACCATCACATCCTGCATACACACACCACACACACCACACACACACACTCTGGAGTGATTTAGAAATGGTTTTCAGTGTCTCAGTGACTTTTGACGGTTTCGGGGTGTTGATACATAAAATTGAGACAACTGAGTATAATGACTCTAAAGACTGATTGATTGATTATTGATGCACCTGCTGGCTCTCTGCTCTGGAAAGACCCATTACATCATTGGAAGCAAAAATTAGGTACGAGTTGTTTCATCAGCCTGATGAAGGAAGAAAAACTTCAATACATTTCCTGTCAAACTAAGTGTACATTTCTTTTCAGTTTAAAACTTAAATAAGATGAAACGTCGCTAATGTTATCAAAATATGGCAAAGTCACGAAAAGAATTAAATTGAAACATAGAAACAGTAAAACTAATTGACACAAAAAAAAAAGAAAAAAAAAAATTGAATTTATGGTAACCTCATTTCATCTCCTCAGTCATGGCGGACTGCCCCCATACAATTGGCGTTGAGTTTGGTACAAGGATAATCGAAGTGAGCGGTCAGAAGATCAAGCTGCAGATTTGGGACACAGCGGGGCAAGAGCGCTTCAGGGCCGTCACCCGCTCCTACTATCGCGGAGCTGCAGGAGCACTCATGGTCTATGATATCACCAGGTACAGGATACTTGTTATGTGTCATTGTGTGTGTGGGAGATACAGTTACATGGTCTCAACTTTACACCAAAGCCTTCATGTGACGTATGCGATAACCATTTAAAGGATTTTATAAAACTTTCATACTTGTATGTAAGAGGAAGGTTAATGGAAGCAAACACGTCCTGAACAAATATGAACAATCTGTCTTACAGCTCGTGTCTGACCTTCTCGCCCAAACTGTTAGATGGCACTGTTTGTTATGTCATGCATGGTTGCTGTGAACACATCTGATAATTCCATATCCATATCCTGTAATTAAATGGTGTGGATTTAATAACCGGTTGTTATATTTGTATTATTCTCTATAGTTCAAGTTTCGTTATTGTTGGATATGGTCCAGTCCCATTTATAGGGTACACTGGGTCAGTGCAGTGAACTCCAGTGTTCTTGTGTCTGCAATACCTTACTGAAAAACAACTTAAGCCAGTTTGGTAGAACTCATTTGTACTTCAGGGCCAGTTCCTTTGTTACTCATTAACACAGTGGTTGTCATTCAGATCCAAGTGTAATGCTGAAGAAATGGTACGTTTATTGGACATAAAAGATAGTAGATTAGGCTGTAACTTGTTTTATGCTTGATAGTTAGGGATGTCAGTTACAGACAGAAAGCAGTGGGGTTTGTGCGTTTCACCTGTGTGAAACTGCATGAATATATTTAGAACCCCCAGATTCTTCACTCTCTGTAATGATGCTGTCCTGCTCTCATTGTTACACCATCCTTATGATGTGGCAGCTGCACAGTCTTTTCTGATCCCTCCTCAGAGATGGCACGATGTTAAGTCTTTGCCTGTCGTCATAGTAACCTCTGTCCCTCTGTTGATGTCATGCAGGAGAAGCACGTACAACCACCTCAGCAGCTGGCTGACTGATGCCAGAAACCTCACCAACCCCAATACTGTAAGGACACAGATTAACATCCTTTCATTTGGCACACTGCAATTATTGCGTGTGTCATCTGCATCTCTAAACGGTGTCTCCCTGCTCTGTTTATTTTCTGTGTCATTCCTCTTATTTCTTTAAAGTTCTAACCCTTTAAGTCACTTCCGCTGCTTCATTTCCTCTGTTTCCCCCTGTGTCATTCTCCCCTCCCCTCCCCTCCCCTGTTTGGAGCCACAGAGCCCTGTCCATTTCTTAAATTGGATTTTGTGGTAAATATGATTAGCTCTAAATCATACTGCTCTCATTTACTGTTCCTTCAATACGCCACTTCCACTCCAGGTTTTTAACATCAAGTGGAAAATGTTTTCCTGGTTTATAAACAACAGAGAGGTCTAGCTCTTTTCATACACATGTATGGGTTTCTTGTGGAACTGTCTTTTCTTTTGCTTATTTTTATGGATAAATGTGACCCCAAGGTAAACCATATTATGTTATGAATGTCATCATGAATATCATTTAATGAGTTCTTCTGGTGTTAGTGTTTCTGTCAAGTGTTCTGAGAAAATATCCACAGAAGCCTATTAGCCTAAGCTGTTTTTTTGCTGAAGTAGCTTGTATCGGCCATGCGGTGGCAATGTTGCAGTCGAGTTATGGTCTGTGACACAAGTGTCAACATGTGTTCTTGCTTCAGGAGATGTTTATTTGGCTGCTGTTGTTTAAGATAGGAAAGATAATGAACACATTATCTGATCATTTGACTGATGCTGTCGTCATCTGAATGACAATAAGTTATGCAAGACCTCTTGTAATTTAGCAAGAGCTTCTAAAAATCTGCTTCCACTTTAACCAGTAACAGCCAACAACTAAAAACACAAGATGTAAATTAATCAGTGTCAGTATTAAATCAGCACTCTCTTTCATGCAGTGGAAATGGAGCTCTCTTATCAAATTTTCACCACAACACTAGTAAACATTAGTTGCTGACACAGCGAGAATCTGTGTGAGAAATTCTGAAATAAAACAGGAAAAAAAAAAACAGTTAAAAGACTTGAATGGTTTATGCTGAACATGCAGCAGCTCCAGCAGAGTCTTAAGGAAGTTCATTACATTACAGGTCTAATTACATCACTGTTGCTAGGGGCACTGTCTCGTGTGCTCATGTGGGGGTGTCAGTTCCTCAGTATATCTCTCAATTGATCTCTTAACAGACAGCTCCACAGAATAACAACTGCGTCAGGAAGAGTCTCCCTACACTGCCTTCAGCTTTCTTAGCTCTCGAAGGCTCAGAAAGCACATTTCTCCCTGAGAGACCATACCATAGATGATTCTCTCATTCTTCTGTTTTGTCAATTTATTCTCAGGTGATCATTCTCATAGGAAACAAAGCAGACTTGGAGGCCCAGAGGGATGTCACGTATGAGGAAGCGAAGCAGTTTGCAGAGGAGAACGGTGAGCCAGACACAGAACAGTTTCCCATGCTGTTATACTCCAATCATGTCTAACTAATCATAAGACACTTTCTGGAAAGGCATCTTCCAAAACTGCGACCGTTTAAAAAATTTCAACAAAACAATAATCCCAGGAATCCGAACAAAATGTCCAAATATTTAGAGTTAAAGTGAGATCCAGCCTGTGTTCTTTTCACAATGTTTATAATCGTAGCCCCTTATTGATTTCAAGAGACAAAAGTGAAGATTAATATCCTTCTGAGTTTATATTGCTGAGACATAAACTAGGAGAAGGTGACTTGAGGAAAGATTAAGTGAGCAAAGAAATGAACTGAAACGGGGGGGTTAATGAGAACTTGGTATTTGAGGCTGTTGTGAGCTTGTAACAATGTTTTACTGACTGTCACTTTGTCTGTTTTATGTTGTACAGGGCTGTTGTTTCTGGAAGCCAGTGCAAAAACGTAAGTCATCTCAGGGACTGCAGGACATGAAATATCACCTTGCTTACATTCTTAAACTCCCAATTGCCTCCTTTATTACGTTGGTGTTTATGCTCTGTGTTCAGAGGTGAAAACGTCGAGGACGCCTTCCTGGAAGCTGCTAAGAAGATCTACCAGAACATCCAAGATGGCAGCCTGGACCTGAACGCTGCCGAGTCGGGGGTCCAGCACAAGCCCTCGGCCCCTCAGGGCGGACGGCTAACCAGCGAACCACAACCCCAGAGGGAAGGCTGCGGCTGCTAATGACCAAGCAAAACCCCCCTTCATCCTCCCTTCCTCTCTCTCTCTCCGTATGTCCTGCCCGTCCTCCCTCAACC